ACCACTTCACAACAAACTGTACCATATGTTACCTTTTGAAAAATTATCCTAGCTTCCTATCAGATACACTTAGCAATTAGCTGCCTCTGCCTTGATTTCCACTGGGAGTTCTGCATAAACATAGTATGTCCCTAAGGCAGTAGCAACTCATGCTGTGCAGGCCTTCTAGACGCACCTGCAAACAATTCATCTGTGTTACAAGCACCGAGTAGAGTGTAGGTTTGCGTGATAGGTCAGTATATACAGAAATAAACATTTCAGGGAAATGTGATTTCATTTTGCTACCTCTCCTGCCCCACGGCCCGCATACCTGGTGAGGCCTCAGCATGGCCAATTTCTTGATTATAAATTGACTTGAGGGAACCTCAGAATTCTACCCAGTTTGACAGAAAAATAAATGAGGAGAGCATCACAAAACTCAGTAGAAATTGCACTTTGCCAATAAATTGAGGAGGATACTTTCAGATGTAATTGTGATGCTAAGCAAGGCATGCAAAGAAAACATCTGGGAAGGAGTAAGTTCCCAGATAAGTTTGTCTCCATGAGTCACATTCCAGGAAAGACTGGGAAATGGCAACTCAGGAATATTTATGAGAGTCCGGCATACTGATATTTTTGTCATAATTGGGAATTGGCCTGTGACCTTTAAAGGAGAAGGAGCAAAATGACAGCTCATGGCCTGTTTTCTAAACTTAACAGCTGTGGAATCTTCCCCTAGATTCCTAATCTGGACATTATTTTCTAAGACATCTCAAGACATCTCCATTCATCTCACCTGTTCTTACAACTCTTGATACCTCTGTGTGAAACCAGAGCATGCAAAGATTTGACAAAGCAACCATCTAAACTTCCTTTTCTGAGAGGAAAAAAAAAAACCCAAAACACAGCCCCACTGTGCTTTGTGTCTTGTGGAAATCCTGTATGGAAAAGGCTGGTTTAAAGTGTCATTCCCCTCAGCACAAAGCTAAAAGTGCGAGTTTACAACATATCAAATGATTTCTTCACCACCTTGCAGTGCCTGCACAGTATATTCTTGCTGGCAGGAACAAACTCCATTGTCACAAGGACTTTCCTTCTGTTGGTCACCGATAAGGGAGCTCTCTCTGCATGGTGCATTCATCCCCTTGCAGAGCGCCAAGCTGTAATTGCGACCCTTGCTCGCTCCATGTACATCTAATACAGCAGAGGCTTTGTCTGAGCTCCATGTAAAGCCGAAATCGTTGACACTGCCACATCTGTTTCTTGGAGTTCATGTGCTGTTTTTTCCTGCATCTAGATTCATGTGAGCTCCTACAGATTTACTTATGTTTGCAATTTTGTGTTGTAAAAATGTGCCTGTCCATAGTGGCATGTGAGGACACATACTATTATAATGATGAGTTTACTTGAATGGCCTTTTCTGTCACAACTTCCATCACTGAGCGGTTGCTATTAAGGAAAAAAAAAAAAAAAATTAAAAAAAAGTGTTAACAGCTTCTGGTTGGCACTCTGCTTTTCTGTGAGATAGGAGTATAAGCGAACATCTTTAGCTTAAGACAATGTTATGCTGCATTCCAGAGGTAGGTACCATAGTATACAGTATCACTGTATTCTTCTGCATCCAACCCCTTAACGTGCAGCTAGATTCCTGTTACTAGATACACCTAGAGGAAATTTAGCTTTTGGTTTAAGGAGTCTAATTCTTAGAGATTTGGTGAAATATTTTTCTTTGTAGTATTTGATTTTGATGGGTTAGCATTCAGAAAGAGATAGAAGGTAAGTATAAGATATTTGGTTATGAATTTTGTCCTGAATAGTTAGACTTATTAAAAGCCTAAATCTGTCTCGCTATTACTTTCTTAATCCTAAAGGTGACTTCTTCCAGCTGATGGGTCAGGAGCACTGTGCCTTTAGGTCTCTTCCAAAAAATAGGTCTGCAAATAAAAGGATATAAACCTTGTGTATAGGCTGGAGAAACTGAATCAAGTAGATAGGGGATCTGTAGTTACAAATCAGTATGAAGAAAAGTGAATTGCATTGCTGTAGAAAGAGTGGTATTCATTTTTTTACTTAGTATTTTACAACCTTTTAAGAGCTTTTATGCAAAATTTCCCATTGTCATTAATGCAAACTAAGAAAATGCAAAGCATTCCGAATTCTTCTAGTGGGAGTCTACTTTAAAAAGGTTTCTAAGGCTAAAAATTTATTGAAGAACCGTTGGATTTCTTGGAGTGTTTGATATCAGCATTCTTTAAAAATCCAGTTTTTGTTTGAAACTACTGTTGCTTTTGAAATTAAAGTTAATAGTAGTAAATAATAATAATAATAGTTAACAAAAAAGCTGACTACTAAAACTAAGCCTACTGAAGTGCAAATGTTTTGATGGAGCTAAACTCCAGGTATCCGTACACATGTTTAAAAATACCTTAGCTATGAAATCTTAGCTCATGTGAATTCAGTTTTGAGTACTCAGTCCTAATTGTTACAAAAATATAATGAAAGACAGCAATTGGTTTAATCAAATATAATGCCAATCATCATCTCATCAACAACATGCTCATCAACATCTGTATTTAATTCATTTTTTTCCAAATGAAATTATTGCTAACTTAATTATTTTTGCTAATGTTAGTGAATCTAAGTCCGTGGTAGCATGCATGTGAGAGAATAGTGCTATAATGCAAGAGACAAAATTGAGAACAAAGAATGTAAATGATCTGGTTAAAACTGTGCAGGACATAAGAGTTGAAGGCTTGAAAATAGGTGATTCTGACAGTTTTGTGTGATAATTGTAACATTTCCATTCCTTCATAAGAAGTTATCTTGTAAGTATTTAAAAGCTCTCAGGGCTATTTTCAGTTGCTTGGTTTTCAATACAATAATTTAATATTATATGCAATTTTACCATTTGCTCCTTGTGTTGTTAAGAAGATTTTATAGTCCTCTTTTATTGGTTGGTATGATTTATATAGCCCTTCTTCCACTGGAATGAAATCTTTTTGGGTATGCTAAGATGAGTCTTTTTATTATCGTTTATAGACTTGTTATGTACTGCTTCATTTGTCTCCAAGTTCTTTTAATGTTTTCCATTTAAATATGTTGTCCAGTTTTAAAACTTGACAATGTGAACCGTATTCTTTTAATGTGAACACACACACATCTCTTATTAATGCTAATGGAAATTGGGCGTGTGCTGAGGCTAGAATGGACCTGGTAGAGACTATTATGAAGTACTAAAAAAAAAAAATCTGTTTTGACTGAGGAAAGAAAAGGATGCATGTAAATTTGCTTTTTCTTTACTATTTCATCATCCTCATTCCCTGTTTCTTTTTTCTTCTATAGAGTAACCTCCCTTCTCTTTATTTAAATAAAAATACTGGAAACATTAGAGGTTAAAAAAAAGTTCTTTCTCTTTTTTTTTTTTTTTTTAAAATCATTCAACTATGTATAGTTCCTACAACAAAGAAAGAAATCTCGTCTTTGATTTCTTGTATGCTAGCTTCCATTATTTTTATTGCAGAACAACAAGATGGGAT